TCCATATATACGGCGATGTATGTATGTATAACATGAATATGTGTATATAGATATACATGATAATCATAGAGATCTGCATAAACCTAGAGAAAATCAAACAAATCAAACCTTCAATACAATCTTCATGGATTTTACATCTTCCATTTTCATTTGTGAAATTATTTGTGCATCTGCCAGCCATGTGATCTGCAGAATCTGCAAGCAGGGTGGTTGTTTTGTAAATTATGTTTCCCTCACATTACATTCCTTATATAGCTACAGATAGTTATATTCTATTTATGTCTTAGCCAGTCTTGTTTGTAATGCAATCGAACATTTCTTGGAATTTGTAGTGGTACTGCACCTCTCAAGACCACCTGTACCTAAGCTGTGCTTATGAACAGAAAGATCTATTTTTTCATTATTATTTCCTGCTGGTCTTTATAGATTAAGTGTTTTCACATCTCAGTGTGGCAATTCACTCAACTTCATTCTTCTCTGGCAAATGTTTACCTATGGTTAACTCACTCATTTGCTGAAAAATCTTTCTTGTTTTGTTAGTATTTCCAGCTACGCTTTCCTCACTGTTCCTAAAATTTTTAAAAATAAAGGCTTTTAAACTGTGTCACTCAAAAATTGCAAATCAAAAGTACACAAAGTTGAGTGCAAAAATAATTTTATCATCAAACTGCAAGTATAAATTTTAGATTAATAGTATTATTGAAAAAGTTACCAAATAGTTTGGTAACTTAAGCTATACAAATACAGTACCTTAAAACTCATTTTCTAAAACTGGGCTAAGTCAGTTTGATGTACTTCCTTCTAACAATAATATGCCATTGTTAGAATTGTATTACTTCTCATGATGAGTAAGGCCTTGTTCCATAACAAYTCTGCTGTAAAATGAATACAAGTATTAAATCACAGATTATTTCAGGGTCTGTGCTACATTATATAGTTCATAGAAAGGACAAATCTTCAGCAACTAGCAGTGAATTAACTGTATGCTTTCAATTAGCATCATTTGAGGATATACCCCAGAAAGACCCATCAGGTTTTACATAATTTTTAATATTCTTTCATTTTCTATGGATAATTATCATATCATTTGTCTTTACAAAATTAGTTGCAGTTGATACAACTTTATTTTAGCCAAAAAATTACTGCCTCTACCATTCAATAAAAACTCCTCATTGGTGTAACCATCTTAGAAATTCCAAATTTCCCCTTCTTTCTAATCATGGCCTGCAATGTCATCCTCCTGCACTGTACACAAATTTGGCAAAGGTGTTTTATTAATGGCCTCAAAATTATGCAAAGTCCTGTAACTACATAAAACTTTAAGTCATCATAAATTACATTCTCACTCATACCTTCTATCATTTTCTAGCACATTGCTATCATTAGTGCTATTATTATTGCAAATTACTGTAGGTATCAGGTTACAAAATCATGTTTTACACATCTAAAGCAAAAGTTCTGAACATCATTGTTTATGTTTTATCATGGCATTCCTTTTGCTGCAATCAAATAATTTAGATTATCTAAAGAACATTTAGCATACCTAACAAAATATGTAGGTATCTATCCCATAATAAATATTTAAGTACTGTTCAATATTTCTTCTATAATAGAGCATGATTTTCAAAAATTCTGCTGATTTTATGCATGTGTATCTTTTAGTTGTCTTTTTAAAAAAATTCTATCTCCTTACATTGCTATCAATACAAAGCACTCTTTCCAATAGCATTTCTTTATATGCAAACAAAACTGAAAACTTTTACCATACCATTTATGAACACAGCATGGTTTCATTCAGATGTTCTCTTTAAGTTAGCATTCCTATACTGAACAGGCACCATAAGTCTTTATTTTTACAGGAATGTTTCTCTGTCTATAGTTACTATTCCACTGATGTAGGAAGCAAGGTACTTTGATCCTCTGAAGGCACATGTATCATAGAAAACTTTAAATGCTGTCATTTTCTTCTCTGCTTAACTGGAAATCCTGAAATAGCAGATCCATACAGCATTTAGAAGCAAATATATTCTTGAGTATAAATGATTATGCTCAAGGCAATATTCTAGGCAAATAGATGCAAACATATGAGAAAACATGGGTCAGTATTGGACCAAAAGAGTTAGGACAGATGAGTGTAGAAAG